ACTCGGGTAGCATTCCGCCGTCGAATAGCGCAGAAACGAAATTCCAGCGAGGAAGGAATTTGCTTGAATCAATTTGACTATGTTCAGGTACAAACAGAGAAGGATTAAATAGTTCTAGCTAGCAAGGCCCTTGGGAATCAACCTGGGAACAACCAGGGATGATCCCAAATAATTCCAATCAACAGAACCAACCTGGCTGGACAAAATAGCAGGTGGTGGGTTGGTAAACAACCTCTGGTTCTGTTTTTCCAACCTGGGAAAACAACAACCAGGTTCAGGTTCTAAAAACAGAACCTGTTTTGTCTTTGCCCAACCAGCCAAATGCTGGTTCCGCTGGTTTCCCCTGGCCTTGTAGCATGCAGATACAGACAAACAACATCCAACCTTCACCTAAATTGTACCCCTATAGTGCCTTCCCTGCTACACTATAGTTAACCAAACAAAACAGTACAATTTCGAGTTGGATAGAACTGAATCTGCGCAATCAACTCAACCGAACTGCAAAGCTTCCATCTTGGGTTCCTTTGCGAGCTCGTCCTTTCTGCTTGCACTGTTCATAGCGCATACAATGTTGTGCCGAAGCGCACATTGCGCGAGTACCTGCAAATGCATCAAGCAAAAAATGCGAAAGCAAACAAACACACGAACACACCATTCACACGCAAATGCATTCGCACACGCATACTCGTACAAACAGACGGCAGGATGTCGTGCAATGTGCATTTGCACCCAACACTGCCGCCAGTTTCCACACCATTTTCTCCACCAGCAGATGCCTCCTGTATCTTCTCTCCATCACCATTTCCAGCAGCTGCCTCCTCTCCCTCCTCCCACACACTAGGAGTCAGGTCCAGCTGCATGGTGATCTGCTCCATCTGCTGGGACACCCTTGCCTCCGGCTGTTTCTCCCAGCTCCCATACATCATGCCCTCAATGAATTTCACATCCCTGCTGTCAAACAACACACCCTTGGATGGTTCCCACAGCAGCCATCCCTTGCTCTCAGCAGCCAGCCCCAAATGCACACACCAGATTGCACTCGCCCCCAACTTACTGCGGTAGGTCTTGGGGACGTGGGCGACTGCCATGCAACCGAACACCCTCAGCATGTCCACCGGCGGCTTCCTCCCAAACCACCTCTCCAACGGCACCCACGAGTCATCCCCAACCTTGGTGAGCACCATGTTCCTAGCTACAATGGCGTGCCGGACAGCATGAGGCCACATAGAATTGCTCAGCCCAGATTCTATGAGCAGCGCCCTAGCTGTCTCCAGAATGGTCCGGTTTGCCCGTTCTGCTACACCATTGGACTGTGGGGTATAAGCCGTGGTCAGCTCTCTCTGGATGCCCTGCTTCTTGAGCCAGGCCGTCATTTCAGCTCCAAGGAACTCACCACCCCGGTCTGTCCTAATCCGCTTCACTACACACTCCGCCTGCTTCTCCACGAATGGCAGCCAATCGTCCCGTATCGTGGAGGCGGCGTGGTCCTTCTGCTTCAGCGGATACGCCCACATCAGCCTGCTCTAGTCATCCACAATTGTAAGAAAATACCGCTCCCCCTTGTGCCCTTGCACCGGCAGCGGCCCCACCAAGTCCATGTGGACCAGCTCCAAAGGCTTCTTGCTCCATCCTTCTCCAGCTGCTTCAGCAAAGGCATTGCCACATGCCCTAAGCGCCGGTGTGCCGTTGCCCAATCTGTCTCCCCAGATCTGGCCGACACTTTCACACCAACCCCTCCAACGGCATTGCACTCCCCCTGGGATGCAGACCCCTCTCCAGCCTGCCCCCCACCATGCCACGCCAGGGCCGGCAGCTGCCACATAGATCTGTACACGTCCTTGCTCTCGTGCAGATCCCAAAGCACCCGATTGCCCAGCTTCCCCTTATAAGTGCGTGCCCCATCCGTGTTGGTGTTCACCCCAGCCTTGCCAAGCTTACGGAGGGAGATAAGGTTGGCCTTCAGGTCGGGGACGAAGAGAACGTCGTGCAGCACCACCGGCTTGCCATCCGCTCCCTTAAACGCAGCTCGTCCCGCACCAGCCACCTTCAACATGTGTCCAGAGGCGGAGCACACTTCATTGATCGGTGCAGCTCGTACTTCGTCCAGCAGGTCCTTGCGCGGCGTCATCGTCCAAGCAGCGCCTGTGTCCAACACCCAATAGTCTAGGGGGTGCAGCTCTGCTCCAACTTTGGCAGAGGCGTCTCCTTGCTCCCCCTTGTCTCCCACATGGAAGAATTGGCCCGCGGTGCGCTCCTTCTTCTTCTCCGCACCGCTGTTGCCCTTCGGGTTGTTGTCGGACGAATCAGCGACCATGTTGGCGCCGTTTTTCTGGTTCCTCCGCGCGCCGCCATCCTGGTGACGATTCTGGAGGGTCCATCCATCGGGTTTCTTATAGCACAAAAACCAGGGGTGCCCTTCCTTCTCACAATACCAGCAACTCCCTTTCATTTTGCCACCAGCACCCGACTTGCCCCCACGTCCAGATTTCGCACCGCGACCCCAACCGGTACCTCCTTGTTGGTCGTTGGAGTCGTCGTCTTTCTTTGCACCGCGTCCAGCACCACCAAAGCCACGTCCTCTGCCACGTCGGCTCCCTTGCATCCCGTAGCTGCTGCTGCCGTCGTCTCCACCCCTCAGTTGGCGGCGACGGAAGTCCTCCTCCAGAATCTTCGTCCGCACCCACTCGAGCGTCCACAAGCTCTGGTTCTGCGGCAGGCTCAATCCGCTCGTAAATTGAAGCCACGATTCCGGCAGCAGCGAGAGCATCTTCAAGCACTTGGTCTGCTCCGGGTAGGTGATTCCCGCGGTCGCCAACTTCGCGTAGAGGTCGCGCATCTTGTCCAGGACTGGTTGCACCGGCTCTCCCTCGCTCAGGCGCAACGCGGACAGCTCCCTCTCCAGCATCAACGTTGCGACAACGGAGGTCGGGGCGTGCAGCTCCTTCAACACGGTCCACGCCTTCGGACCGCATTCAACCTCCGGCAGCAGGTGCATGACGTGGTGACGCTGGTTCAGCTCCAAACTCTGCGACATCAAATAGTAGCCAGCCGAGGAGCGCTCGTCCCAATCTTCCTGCAGCGTGGGGTCACTCGGTCTAGGCTCCTCCCCAATCATTAGTTTCAGCAAACCGATCTGACGGAAATATAATTGCATTTTCCAGGCCCAATCATCATAGCCCTCACCATTGAACTTCTCGACGGTGAAATTCTTCAGCACCTCCTTGACAAGCGAGCCCTGGTTTGTTCGCGCTCCCCTTGGCGCTGAAAGACCAGAATCTTGGCTGCCGCTACGATCTTGGGCTGAAGATTCACCAGCTCCCGCCGAGGTGTTGCCCGCCATAGCTACCTATAACGAGGATCACTATAACGCGGCTCTGATACCAGCTTGTTGGTGTAAGGGCCTAATAAAATCAAGCTATTAGGACTTAATCAAACTTAAAACCTCTCCTCGGGGTCACCTCCAAGGGTCCCTGGGTGCCTGGTACAAGACCAGCCCCTATCCTCGGGTCCGAGTTTGTAGAGAGAGGGATCAAGGACTTAGTCAAAACAGCAAGAGTACCTTGAACGTCGCGCAGCGTGCCGTGCAGACCGTCGGTCGGATTAAGCTGAGAATTCGCTATATCGAAGCTCGCTCCAAGAGCTTTAAAATGAGCCAAGTTGCCTCGCGAAAAGTTCTGCCATTACTAAGTTCTGGCTCGGACAGCGTTTGCCTAGCGTTGGAGTGCTAGCATACTAGCATTGACTCGGGTAGCATTCCGCCGTCGAATAGCGCAGAAACGAAATTCCAGCGAGGAAGGAATTCGCTTGAATCAATTTGACTATATTCAGGTACAAACAGAGAAGGATTAAATACTTCTAGCTAGCAAGGACCTTGGGAATCAACCTGGGAACAACCAGAGATGATCCCAAATAATTCCAAGCAACAGAACCAACCTGGCTGGACAAAATAGCAGGTGGTAGGTTGGTAAACAACCTCTGGTTCTGTTTTTCCAACCTGGGAAAACAACAACCAGGTTCAGGTTCTAAAAACAGAACCTGTTTTGTCTTTGCCTAACCAGCCAAATGCTGGTTCCGCTGGTTTCCCCTGGCCTTGTAGCATGCAGATACAGACAAACAACATTCAACCTTCACCTAAATTGTACCCCTATAGTGCCTTCCCTGCTACACTATAGTTAACCAAACAAAACAGTACAATTTCGAGTTGGATAGAACTGAATCTGCGCAATCAACTCAACCGAACTGCAAAGCTTCCATCTTGGGTTCCTTTGCGAGCTCGTCCTTTCTGCTTGCACTGTTCATAGCGCGTACAATGTTGTGCCGAAGCGCACATTGCGCGAGTACCTGCAAATGCATCAAGCGAAAATTGCGAAAGCAAACAAACACACGAACATTCCATTCACACCCAAATGCATTCGCACACGCATACTCGTACAAACAGACGGCAGGATGTCGTGCAATGTAAATTTGCACCCAACAGTCCACGGACGCGGGCTGGGCCCCACATGTCCAGGTGGAGCGTCTGCAAGGGAGCAGTCGTCGGGGGAAAGGAGGAGGAGTGAGGAGCGGCGCGCTGCCGCCCCTCGACACAGGGAAGACAGGGAGGAGCAGGCGAGGGTGGGAGGGGAGGGAGAACCCTGGGAAGACCAGAGACAAGGTGCCGTTTGTGCATGGCACGAAGGCGCTGCACAGACGGGTGGCCAAGTCGGTGGTGCCAGAGGACGGTCTCGTGCGCCAGAGAGCGACACGAGCAGGGGGCCGACAGCTGACCTGACGCAGACGCGGACGCGGACGCAGCTACCTGAGGGGACTCAGTGGTCAGTGTGTACAGGTCCGACCCCGGCTGCCGAGTGAACTGGTGAACACCCGCGTCCTGGAGCGCACAACCCGCCACCAAGTTCGTAGAGAACGAGGGGAGGTGGAGACCAGACAGTGTGCCCGACGGGACCGTAGGACAGGGAAGAACAATGGAGGAGGTCGCAATGACCGGACCCCCAGAGGGGTCAGCGAGGGAGACAGCAACTGGCCGAGCAAGCGGCTCAAGGGCAGTGCGGTCACGAAAGAAACAGCGAGAAGCACCTGAGTCCAGGGTGAAGGTGTGTAGTGCCTCAGTCGACTCAGTGCAAGGGGGGACAGACTCACTAGCACCTAGAGCGGCAGCCTCACCATCACCTGAGGTGGCAGACACGCGAGTACCTGCAGTGGCAGTCTCACTAGCACCTAGAGCGGCAGCCTCACTGGTCAGAATGCCCGGGTCGGGCGGAACACGCAAGTACTGAGCACCCTCTCCACTAGTAAACATCGCATACATGGCAGTGATAATAGCATCAAAGTCTAGAGCCCAGATATCAACCCCCTTCCTCTCCAGATCAGCCCAGCGGGGCAGCTCAGCGCCATCAGGGAACTGGGCGCGCCAAGCGTCGTCAAGGCGCGAGAAACAGCGCTGCGTGGGGTGTGGCCTCCCACACGTCTGACCAGTGCGGTCACCAGTGCGGATGACGTACGTGCAGCTAAAGCCACCCGCCCGCGGGCGCTGCGAATACCACTCACGGGCCTCCTGGAGCGACGGAGTGTGCTGCTGGCTCAGACCACCGCCAGCGCCTCCACGACCACCACCGCCGCCGCCACCTCCTCGACCACCTCCTCCCCTGCCGCTGCCACGACCACCTCCGCCCCCGCTGCCGCCCCCGCCCCTGCCACCGCCCCCGCCGCTGCCGTCACCACCCCCACTGCCGCCACTAGCCTCTCCAGCCCCTCCTCCACTCCCACCGCCTCCACCCCCGCCTCCCCCGCCGCCACCTGTGTTGGGTGCAAATGCACATTGCACGACATCCTGCCGTCTGTTTGTACGAGTATGCGTGTGCGAATGCATTTGTGTGTGAATGGTGTGTTCGTGTGTTTGTTTGCTTTCGCATTTTTCGCTTGATGCATTTGCAGGTACTCGCGCAATGTGCGCTTCGGCACAACATTGTACGCGCTATGAACAGTGCAAGCAGAAAGGACAAGCTCGCAAAGGAACCCAAGATGGAAGCTTTGCAGTTCGGTTGAGTTGATTGCGCAGATTCAGTTCTATCCAACTCGAAATTGTACTGTTTTGTTTGGTTAACTATAGTGTAGCAGGGAAGGCACTATAGGAGTACAATTTAGGTGAAGGTTGGATGTTGTTTGTCTGTATCTGCATGCTACAAGGCCAGGGGAAACCAGCGGAACCAGCATTTGGCTGGTTGGGCAAAGACAAAACAGGTTCTGTTTTTAGAACCTGAACCTGGTTGTTGTTTTCCCAGGTTGGAAAAACAGAACCAGAGGTTGTTTACCAACCTACCACCTGCTATTTTGTCCAGCCAGGTTGGTTCTGTTGCTTGGAATTATTTGGGATCATCCCTGGTTGTTCCCAGGTTGATTCCCAAGGTCCTTGCTAGCTAGAAGTATTTAATCCTTCTCTGTTTGTACCTGAATATAGTCAAATTGATTCAAGCGAATTCCTTCCTTGCTGGAATTTCGTTTCTACGCGGTTCGTTGGCGGAATGCTACCCGAGTCAACGCTAGTACGCTAGCGCTCCAACGCTAGGCAAACGCTGTCCGAGCCATAACTTAGTAATGGCAGAACTTTTCGCGAGGCAACTTGGCTCATTTTAAAGCTCTTGGAGCGAGCTTCGATATAGCAAGTTCTCAGCTTAATCCGACCGACGGTCTGCACGGCACGCTGCGCGACGTTCAAGGTACTCTTGCTGTTTTGACTAAGTCCTTCTTGATCCCTCTCTCTACAAACTCGGACCCGAGGATAGGGGCTGGTCTTGTACCAGGCACCCAGGGACCCTTGGAGGTGACCCCGAGGAGAGGTTTTAAGTTTGATTAAGTCCTAATAGCTTGAGTTTATTAGGCCCTTACACCAACAAGCTGGTATCAGAGCTGCGTTATAGTGATCCTCGTTATAGGTAGCTATGGCGGGCAACACCTCGGCGGGAGCTGGTGAATCTTCAGCCCAAGATCGTAGCGGCAGCCAAGATTCTGGTCTTTCAGCGCCAAGGGGAGCGCGAACAAACCAGGGCTCGCTTGTCAAGGAGGTGCTGAAGAATTTCACCGTCGAGAAGTTCAATGGTGATGGCTATGATGATTGGGCCTGGAAAATGCAATTATATTTCCGTCAGATCGGTTTGCTGAAACTAATGATTGGGGAGGAGCCTAGACCGAGTGACCCCATGCTGCAGGAAGATTGGGACGAGCGCTCCTCGGCTGGCTACTATTTGATGTCGCAGAGTTTGGAGCTGAACCAGCGTCACCACGTCATGCACCTGCTGCCGGAGGTTGAATGCGGTCCGAAGGCGTGGACCGTGTTGAAGGAGCTGCACGCCCCGACCTCCGTTGTCGCAACGTTGATGCTGGAGAGGGAGCTGTCCGCGTTGCGCCTGAGCGAGGGAGAGCCGGTGCAACCAGTCCTGGACAAGATGCGCGACCTCTACGCAAAGTTGGCGACCGCGGGAATCACCTACCCGGAGCAGACCAAGTGCTTGAAGATGCTCTCGCTGCTGCCAGAATCGTGGCTTCAATTTACTAGCGGATTGAGCCTGCCGCAGAACCAGAGCTTGTGGACGCTTGAGTGGGTGCGGACGAAGATTCTGGAGGAGGACTTCCGTCGCCGCCAACAGAGGGGTGGAGACGACGGCAGCAGCGGCTACGGGATGCAAGGGAGCCGACGTGGCAGAGGACGTGGCTTCTCCTCCCTCGCCTGCTCCTCCCTGTCTTCCCTGTGTCGAGGGGCGGCAGCGCGCCGCTCCTCACTCCTCCTCCTTTCCCCCGACGACTGCTCCCTTGCAGACGCTCCACCTGGACATGTGGGGCCCAGCCCGCGTCCGTGGACTGTTGGGTGCAAATGCACATTGCACGACATCCTGCCGTCTGTTTGTACGAGTATGCGTGTGCGAATGCATTTGTGTGTGAATGGTGTGTTCGTGTGTTTGTTTGCTTTCGCATTTTTCGCTTGATGCATTTGCAGGTACTCGCGCAATGTGCGCTTCGGCACAACATTGTACGCGCTATGAACAGTGCAAGCAGAAAGGACGAGCTCGCAAAGGAACCCAAGATGGAAGCTTTGCAGTTCGGTTGAGTTGATTGCGCAGATTCAGTTCTATCCAACTCGAAATTGTACTGTTTTGTTTGGTTAACTATAGTGTAGCAGGGAAGGCACTATAGGAGTACAATTTAGGTGAAGGTTGGATGTTGTTTGTCTGTATCTGCATGCTACAAGGCCAGGGGAAACCAGCGGAACCAGCATTTGGCTGGTTGGGCAAAGACAAAACAGGTTCTGTTTTTAGAACCTGAACCTGGTTGTTGTTTTCCCAGGTTGGAAAAACAGAACCAGAGGTTGTTTACCAACCTACCACCTGCTATTTTGTCCAGCCAGGTTGGTTCTGTTGCTTGGAATTATTTGGGATCATCCCTGGTTGTTCCCAGGTTGATTCCCAAGGTCCTTGCTAGCTAGAAGTATTTAATCCTTCTCTGTTTGTACCTGAATATAGTCAAATTGATTCAAGCGAATTCCTTCCTCGCTGGAATTTCGTTTCTACGCGGTTCGTTGGCGGAATGCTACCCGAGTCAACGCTAGTACGCTAGCGCTCCAACGCTAGGCAAACGCTGTCCGAGCCATAACTTAGTAATGGCAGAACTTTTCGCGAGGCAACTTGGCTCATTTTAAAGCTCTTGGAGCGAGCTTCGATATAGCAAGTTCTCAGCTTAATCCGATCGACGGTCTGTACGGCACGCTGCGCGACGTTCAAGGTACTCTTGCTGTTTTGACTAAGTCCTTCTTGATCCCTCTCTCTACAAACTCGGACCCGAGGATAGGGGCTGGTCTTGTACCAGGCACCCAGGGACCCTTGGAGGTGACCCCGAGGAGAGGTTTTAAGTTTGATTAAGTCCTAATAGCTTGAGTTTATTAGGCCCTTACACCAACAAGCTGGTATCAGAGCTGCGTTATAGTGATCCTCGTTATAGGTAGCTATGGCGGGCAACACCTCGGCGGGAGCTGGTGAATCTTCAGCCCAAGATCGTAGCGGCAGCCAAGATTCTGGTCTTTCAGCGCCAAGGGGAGCGCGAACAAACCAGGGCTCGCTTGTCAAGGAGGTGCTGAAGAATTTCACCGTCGAGAAGTTCAATGGTGATGGCTATGATGATTGGGCCTGGAAAATGCAATTATATTTCCGTCAGATCGGTTTGCTGAAACTAATGATTGGGGAGGAGCCTAGACCGAGTGACCCCATGCTGCAGGAAGATTGGGACGAGCGCCCTCTTATACGCAGCAGTTCACACGAGGCCCGACATCTCTTTCTCGGTTGGGCAGCTGGCTAGGGTGGTGCAGAATCCATCAGAGGAGCAGGTGGATGCAGCTGAGCGTGTGGTGAAGTACCTGAACTCTCACCCAAGCATTGGAGTTCAATACTCCGCATCTGCACAGGTGAAGCAGAAAGGGGTGGAGGTGCTGAAAGAGAAGGGGGAGAGGCTTGGAGAAGGCAAGCTATTTCTCACTTGCTTTACCGATGCTACGTGGGCTTCTGAGAAGGAGGATTCCTCATCTGTGGGAGGATACATCTGCGTAGTTGGGGGAGGACCTGTTAGTTGGAGGTCCAAGAAGCAGACGGAGACGGCACTCTCTTCCGTAGAATCAGAGTACATGGCGATGTTCCATGGGGTGAAGGAGGTGATTTGGCTGAGGAGGCTGTTAGAGGAGATTGGCCAGGAGCAGAAAGTTGCTACGCCGCTGTTTTGTGATAGCAAGGGGGCTCTTGGGATGGCCAGAAACGCTGTGCTTCATGGGCTGAACAAGCACATGCGTATCAAGTGGCACTGGCTGCGTAAGGAGGTGAAGAGGGGGACGGTGAATCCAATCTACATCAAGACTCACCAGCAGCCAGCAGACTTTCTCACCAAGAGGCTTGCGGATGAGCCTCATTGGCGTTGTGTGCGCATGAGTGGAATGAGCATGAACTAGCATGGAATGACGGGGATGCAGCCGGCAGGCTGAGGGGGAGTGTGTTGGGTGCAAATGCACATTGCACGACATCCTGCCGTCTGTTTGTACGAGTATGCGTGTGCGAATGCATTTGCGTGTGAATGGTGTGTTCGTGTGTTTGTTTGCTTTCGCATTTTTCGCTTGATGCATTTGCAGGTACTCGCGCAATGTGCGCTTCGGCACAACATTGTACGCGCTATGAACAGTGCAAGCAGAAAGGACGAGCTCGCAAAGGAACCCAAGATGGAAGCTTTGCAGTTCGGTTGAGTTGATTGCGCAGATTCAGTTCTATCCAACTCGAAATTGTACTGTTTTGTTTGGTTAACTATAGTGTAGCAGGGAAGGCACTATAGGGGTACAATTTAGGTGAAGGTTGGATGTTGTTTGTCTGTATCTGCATGCTACAAGGCCAGGGGAAACCAGCGGAACCAGCATTTGGCTGGTTGGGCAAAGACAAAACAGGTTCTGTTTTTAGAACCTGAACCTGGTTGTTGTTTTCCCAGGTTGGAAAAACAGAACCAGAGGTTGTTTACCAACCTACCACCTGCTATTTTGTCCAGCCAGGTTGGTTCTGTTGATTGGAATTATTTGGGATCATCCCTGGTTGTTCCCAGGTTGATTCCCAAGGTCCTTGCTAGCTAGAACTATTTAATCCTTCTCTGTTTGTACCTGAACATAGTCAAATTGATTCAAGCAAATTCCTTCCTCGCTGGAATTTCGTTTCTGCGCTATTCGACGGCGGAATGCTACCCGAGTCAACGCTAGTATGCTAGCACTCCAACGCTAGGCAAACGCTGTCCGAGCCATAACTTAGTAATGGCAGAACTTTTCGCGAGGCAACTTGGCTCATTTTAAAGCTCTTGGAGCGAGCTTCGATATAGCGAATTCTCAGCTTAATCCGACCGACGGTCTGCACGGCACGCTGCGCGACGTTCAAGGTACTCTTGCTGTTTTGACTAAGTC